GTGCGCCGTGAGCTTTTGTTGCCGTCGGATACATTGGGTACGAACGATTTCGCATTGCTGGAGATTCACGACCCCAAAGCAAGATTAGACATTCTTGTGCCAAATTGGACATCTGTGATCCTCTCAGGGTTGTTGAATAGGCTTTTTCTCACTTGCGTCCTCACCAACGTCTTTGGCCTTTTCCTGCGCAAACTTTTCGTTTTCGGTTCAGGAACATTCTCTGTGCGTTGCGGCTGCAATCTGGAGTCCTTCAAAGTTCCAAAACTTTGGACGCCGGGTCTTACCTGGCGGTGCGACATGGCAGCTGCAGCGCGCAGGGAATAGTGAGTTTGTCAGACGGCGTGGTCGTTGGAGCAACAGCAGGGTGATGGAAATATATATATATATACAGGAGATAGGCGCTGTTAAATTCTTCTTGAAGTTGAACTTAGAGGTCATGTACTTCGGTATGATGCATTGTTCCCCGGAAGCTTTGTGAAGATGCAGAATCCCTCCAGTTGCTTGGTGCCACTTCTAGGTGATGAGCCTTTGAGGCTAGATTCATGCCGTGAAGGGGAGCACCGCTGTGCTCAAGGCACCCTCCCATCCCCACCCACAGCGGCGCTGGTGGTTGATTCATGCCGTGAAGGCACTGTGTATCCAGCCCGCAGCAGAGAAACACGTGAGCTTGACTTGATAGTTTAGCTAAGTGCATCGCACTAGGAACAAGGGCATTAGCTACTAGTGGCAAGAACCTTGCTAAGTGCATTGCTACTAGGAACAAGCGCACTACCACTAGTAGCAAGAAACTACTAGTAGCTAAGTACATCGCTACTAGGAACAAGGGCATTACTACTATAGCAAGAAGCTACTAGTAGCTAAGGGCATCGCTACTGAGAACAAGGGCATGTAGCCAATAAGTGCATCGCTACTAGTAACAAGAAACAATTCTTACAGTTTCGTGGCCAGGATTTGGATCAAACGCATCGATTTGCTTCCACTGAGCCTCGCCTCTTGAAAACGACAAAAACTTGCCCAAGAAGAACCATATTTGATTCCGGATGCGGTAAATACAATACCGACCCTTTTCACAACGCATGCGGTAAACATTTCGAGCTGTGAAACCCAGGTAAACCGGCGATCTTTTTCGATTTCTGCCGTGTCCATAGACGTGTTCAAAGCGCTAAGACATAAACGTTTTCATGTTTAACTGCGCGTGTGGTTAAAATGAACTAGGCGACAGACCCGGGCAGAACGGTAAAAACGAAAACATAGACATAGACATGGACTTTGACCGTTTTATTGGGGGAAACCCCGCAGCCCGAGCAGCACCGCTAAACCAGCACAGTTTGGACCCCATTCTCTTTTTTCACCCTGTCCATGTAGAGTCATTTTTCCTCTTGCTTGATGAATAATTTCAGCGAAAATTGAATGGTTTGCGGCAAGGTGATTCGCGTTCACAGCAGTCCCTCTTATTGGGGGTTCTGTTATTGTTCTTGAGTCTGTGCATAGGGCCATTTTGATTTGACAGAAGCCGCGCAGGACCTTCTTTTGTCACAAAGGTCAAGGCCTGATCGTTTTTGTCTTAGAAACAGGAATATTTTTGCGGCGTGGAAGACTTTTCTGACACGAACTTGGGAGCCCAGGCTCCTCAGAAGGGCCCGGCAATGTCCCGCATGAACGTGGCACAGCCCCAAGTCAGCTTGGACTGCGAAACGCCAGAGTAGCTAAGAACTCACCCGTGTAGAGTGTAGAGAACTTGTTTTGGACTGTGAACCCTGAAAGAGCTCGGAGGCAGTCAACGCTGCTTTGAACAGTGCCGTGACTTGGCGTTCCAAGAGCCTGGATCCTTCACATGTTCTTGGCAGAACATCAAAAGATTAAAATATGGTCTCAGCTCAAGAACAAAAGGAACAATTGTACAAACAGAAGGGAAAGAAGATGCAAGCGCGAAAAGCGACAAAGGGGCTCCAAAGGGACATCTCTTTGAGGTTTGCATTGATCTCAGCAAGTCAGAAAGGCCAGGATTGATGTGTGACAACATAGATACTTTTCTCTATACTTCACTATGACCTCTGCTTTGAACAGTTTTGGACTTGTGACAAGCCTTCACTTCGACTTGGCAATGTTCCGGCCTACATGATGCAGGACTCGTGTCACAGCGCAGGTGAACGTGCTCGCAATTTTGGTGCGGTATTTTTCACTCCAAAATTTACCACCTGGCTTGCGGTCCTTTGCACAACAGGTGCATGTTAATGTTAATAGGCAGGCTGCCGCATGGCTCAAGCATAGTTGGGTTGACACCCAGTTGCAGTTCATCCCCTCCAGAAAGACCAGTGGGAGCCTGCCTTGAAATAGTCCGCTGAAGATCGCTGAAACAAAAAGGTGCTTTTGTCTTTTTATTTCTTTTCAGGCTAAGCAGAGTGGCCTCATTGCATGTACTGAGCTGCGTTGTGATGTGAAGGGCTCAAGGGTCCACTGCGAGTTGCCGGAACAGATCCAGAGGCATGTGGAAGCAACGTGAAGAGAAAATGGAAACTCAGACATGCATACATGGTGGCAGAGAGTTAAGTCGCTGGGCTGCAGGTACCCATGGTACACTGGCAGCGCGCTTGGCATTCTATATGCATGGTCCACTTTTAGTGGTCCAATTGCTCTTGCTCAATTTTCCGCTGAGGGCTGGCCATGCGGCTCGCTGGGCACGCTGTCGCAATGCGCATCTTTCTCAGTTCGCTCGTCAGGTGGGGAGGGATATGCATTGCCTTAGAATGCCCTCTCCACATGCAGATACTTTCATCAAAACCTTCCACTTCACCCTGCGCAAGAACAATTCAACACTCTGCTCCTAAACACACGGTCTCAAAATTTATTGAGCACACTCTTAAAAACATCTTGCGAGGGCTGCTATTCTGTGTGTGTACAATTCACAGCATGTATGAACATTGTGATTGCCACACTTCTCTGCGGATGAAGGGAACCATCAAAAACGAGACCAAACTCTTATATAAGTCTTGATGCTCAAGAAACAACTTGTCGTGATATGCCAGCTGGCATAGGGTAGATCTATACTCCCAAAGAAACTATTGCAGGCAGATCAATCGTTCGGGTCGGTTGTGGAGGGCTTTGCCAGACCAAAGGCTTGATCTCTTGAATGCGGATGCCATGATTTGTAGCTAACAGGTGAACCTTGGCTTGCAAGCGTTGCACTCAGAGTTCCTTCATCAGAATGCGTGGCGCTTTCAGCTGTGTTTGCGCTGTTGGACGCAAAATGCAGTTTCTTTCTTGTTTGATGACGACTTCTAGATTTTAGAAGGAACCTTTGTTTCTCGCCAACTGAGCAGGGGCATCGCGGCCTTTCCAGCTGCCCGCCACTAACACGGATCTGTGCCGAGCTGATGCCGGTA